GCAGGATGGAAAAAAAAAAAACATAATATGCCAAAAAGAAAGTAGAAAGAGATTTAAATTATGTTTAAGTATATAACTCATTGATGTAATCTTGCAAACATTCAATTTATTTTGGGTTAAATTAAGATTAACACATGGCTAATTGGATATAACATCAACTAAATATTTTTTTTATTAGTATAAGTTTACCATTGTCAAAAAATTAAGAGGTTGAAGCCCACCTCAACCTTTCGGGCGACTCCGCCCCTGAACATTCTTTTTTATGCTTTCAAGCAAAAAGGTGCGATCTGGGTGATTTTAGATGATTGTGAAATTAGTCAATTACGCGACCTAGGCAGTCCGAGCATTGTCTCGACACTTGTATAATCTTTTATATTTGTAATTTAAATTTTAAGATATAATAAAAATAAATTTTAATTTATATACATGAAATATATAATAATTATAAAATAAAAAATAATATCCACGTTGAATTATTATATTAAAAAAAACTTTGTAGTTAATGATACTAATTAATATAATTTGGATAATATCTTACATATTATATATGATAATAAACCTATAATAATTTATTAATATTTTAACAATCTCACCCCTACTCCTACCCGTTGCCTAGCAAAGCTATCTTTTACAACATTTTTTTTTTCGGTACAATGATCTTTTACAATATTAACTCACAAGTTAACACCAAACACGTTTGACGTTTGGAAGAATGTATTTGATTGGATAAAAGATTTATATTTTAATTTCAAATTTATTAATCTAATCAAAAGCATATAATACTTTCCTTGGATTCCATATGACCAAACTAAGCACATTTTTCGTACTTTCCACTAAAACTAACACCAAACATTGTCACGCTACGCAACAACCTTTTGACATAATTTGTGATTGCATTACTCCCCACTTTTATCATATAAAGTACAGCCAAACCTAATCAATACGCAAGTATTTTCTAAGTTTAAACTACAAATAATTAGTTGTCGAAACAGATCAATAAGTCTTGTTTATGTCCGCCTAAAGAAACATTAGTTTTTTTTTTAATGGAAAAATCATAATTTTTGAGTAAAATACCATAAACAAGAAACATAAAATAACTAGTTAATTATTACTAAATCATATAGCATACACCATTAGAAATATATAAACCTGATTCAAAAATATGTACATACAATGAAAATTAATTCGCCAATCCAATTTTAATCCATTTATTATGCTATTTTTCAACAAAACTAATGTTAGGCTTGAAAAGACTAATGTTAGTCCTACCTAATAGCTAAATAATTATATTTTATTAACATATACTCTAAACTATAACATATGGTAAAGCAACGTATTGTTTGGACACATACTTTAAGCTACTTCAAAATAATTGTGATAGTTTAGTGCAAGTGGTAACCAAAATATTGAAAGGTATTTAGGTGTAGTTTTAATTTTATTGCCGACTACAAAAAGAAAAAAGTTGGTTCAAACAATATGCTTGGGTATTTGCAATTCGGTCCACCAACACCTTATTTATTTTTATTTTTTTTACTTTTCTTCGTGTACCACATAATTGTTTGCCTAACAGGCTAACACATTCAATATTATTTATCATCTTAATAATTTAGCGGCCAACCAAGCAACAGCACCATCTCCCTGAAAAAAATATTAATTATGAAATTGCGAGGACAAGAATTTCCACTTCCCATATTTATGATATAATTAATTAACTCAAATGACAACAATAGCCCTACACTCCATCTAATTTACAACAAAGCACAAAACCCCTCCCCGGCCGCGGTTGACCGGCGAAAACACCCCGTCAAAGAGAACCACTCAGCCCGACACAACCCGAAACACCCACCGGCAAGTCTAAATATTCCAGATCCGTCCCTCGATTCATCGGACCGGCAGGTTTTTAGCCTTCCTGTTCAAACCTTGAGAAGTTTTGAGGCACGGACGACCGGATTTTCCTTCGCGATCGCCTCCCGTCCGGCCGCTTTGTAATCATAGCTACATTCGTGACGATCCGAGTACCTGTGCTCCGAGCAAAACACGTCGCCGCACCTGCACCGGAAACCCATAAGGCCGACCTTCTTCCTGCAGCCCGACCCGGAGCACCGGGTCACCTCCCTAGGCCTCTTCAGATTCCCCACGGCGTTGACCAGATCCGGGGAACCGGCGGAGCTGGATCTCCGTTCGGACGCCGCCTGAAGATTCGGATCTGGGGTCTCCGGTGGAGATCGGACGGCGGGAGGCTGTTGTGGCGGGGGGGTGTGGATCGTCGTCGGCGGCGGCGTGCATATAGGTATGTTTTCGGGGACCTTGAGCTCGGTTTCTTCCTTCTCTCTATTTTGGGCGGCCATGACGATTGGCTAAGAAGAGAAGAAGGATCTGGAGGCGCTTTGGGTGTGTGGAAATGGAAAGGCCGAAAGAAAGAGAAAATAGGAGTGGAAAATGTGAGGATTAGGAATTTAGGGGGAATTGCTATGGTAATGGACTAATGGGGAATCTGTGTGTTATATTTCAGATTTGGGATAAAATATGGGGCGACTATTTTAAATGGTGATGAAAACTTGTGGGTATTTGTTGGTACGCGTATGGGCATAATAATTATAAAAGAGTTTTAGCCACTAAAATGACAGTATTATCCTTTATCTCTTGTCTTCTCACTAGAGCTGTCAAAACAGTCCGTGGCTTGGCTCGGCCCACACTGCCAAAAAGACGGGTTGGGCCTGTATTTTCTAGGCCTGCTGAATAGCGAGCTTAAACGGGGCAGCTCGTGTGGGCCGCGAACCAAGGCGGGGCGGGGCGGGCTAGCCCACCAATTAATAAAATAAAATAAAATGGGAAAAAAATATATACATAACCCTTAGTGTAGATATATTTACATAAATACAATTCGTAGAAAACAAAATCAAAAGAGGATTAATTATTGATTTTTTTTTTCATTTATACGAGACTATGATAATCATCAGATATGGTTCTCTCTCTCTCTCCATATATTGAAAGTCGTCTACAGAAGGCGAAAATCATGCAGAGAAAACGACAAACACATTAAACAGAAAAAATGATAGAAAAACATGGCGATCGTGATTTTGCGGCACGACTACGACCAGATGGCACATTAGAGAGGCTCAGCATCGATTTCTGTTGACGGCGAGGTGCAACGAGGTCGACTGAACGTCGAATAGCGACGGTAAAAAACGACGGCTCCAAATTGAGGGCGGCGATTTTGCGGCACGACTACGACTAGACGGTGTCTCAGATTCATGGCTGACTACAGCGACACGATTCAAGAAACTCATAGGCGAGCGGTTGTGTCCCAGGGCTTGGGTTAATGGAGGCTGGTGGTCGCGCAACCTGGACCGGTGGATGTTCGGCTATTCTGTTTATGTACCGTTTATGTATATAAAATTAGCTTCTTCTAAGCGTGATGCCAAATTTACCTGTAGATGTCCTGCTATTCTGTTTATGTACCGTTTATGTATTTATGCAATAAAAGTTGAAACGGATCGTTCCTAGAGTAATTTTCTCTTAATTTTTAAGTTGTAATGATATTGTTGAAGTTTATAATCTTTCCTTAATGGTTGTTTACTTATTGCTTACTTTTAGTATAATGTTGCATAATAAAAAATATGTTTGTATGCTGTTTACCTTATGTGTGTGTGTGTATATATATATATATCTACAATATTCGGTATGTGTGCTTATCTACCCAGATGTTTACTACACGGTGTAATATACATTAGTTAAACACGTATGTGTGTGTATGTCTCTATTTTGTGTTTACAACCCGGTATAATATACTTTAGGTAAACACATTACTTAAAGTATGTGTGTGTTAGTCTCTTAAAAAGTTAAGATAAAATTACAATACCGGATGGAAAAAAATAGTCCGAAAAGTGCATTTTCATGAGTTAACCTCGTGCAAATCAAATATCCAAAAGCAATAGAACCAATATTCCTTCACTGATGTTCACCAGAAAAAAAAGAAAAAAAAAAAAGCAAAACATGCAACAAAACATCATGTCAATAGTACCAACATGGTTCAACTCTCCATACACAAAAAGACAAACAGTACTCCTTCAAAAGATAGGCATATTCTAACTAACTGATGTGAGCTTTGCACGTTGTATATCATCAAGCATCCCAGGGAAAAAAAAGTCGCTCTCACAAGAATTTTATTGCTTCATAACACCATGTTGGTATAGCAGGTATGAGTACCTCATCCTCTCCGTGTCGGGATCGTAGTCCGTCGGAAGATCAAACTTAGTGATGAATTATTCGGCAAATGAGGCGACAAATATTCCGCACTCACTGAAAAAAAGAAATCTCGTCAATGCTTACGGTTTTTTGGGTCAAACTTTGGAATATCAGTGACTGTCTCACTGTCGACCTTTGGTGCGTCCGAACCCATTTCACTCGAATGAAACTCTTCCTCCTCGTCAACATTGAAATCCGAATCGGGCTCTTCCTCCTCTTCAACATTTTTCTCTTCGACCTTGTTTCTTCGAACCCTTTTCTTGTTGGGGTCGTCTATCACCTTTTTTTCACTTTGTGTTTGATTTTATGTTCGGAGACGAAATCGTTGTCGTCGGCCGGCTCACCTTCAGCGGTCTTCGAAATTGGTGCTTTCTTGGTATTGGTAGGATCTTCCATTTTCTGAAATTTGAGGTTTTTTTGTACAACCTTGCGATCGGTAGGTTGAAATTGAGATTTGTGACGAGATTGGGAGCGAGTAATCTTTGCTTCGTCTTCAATGTCGGATGGTTTGCCCTCAATTTTTTTNCTGTTTGACATTGTTCTATCCCTGTTGAGAAATTTTTTGGTGTTGAGATATTGAGAGAGATGAAAAATTTTTTGGGGGAGATAAAACCTGCACTATGGCCGAGATATTGAGAGAGACAGTGTGATTTTTTTTTTTCATGTTCTTCAAATCTTCTTCGCTCAATCGGTATTTTTTTGAGAGAGGAACAGGGAATTTATCTCCTGTATTGAGAGAGAGAGAGTGATACCAGCTTTTTTTGTTCTGTTGAGTGTAAAGGTATGAAATCACGTTTCCCAAGAGAGAGTTGTTATTATTTTAAACTGACAATAATTTCGGATAATTAAATATCATTAACATCACTTACCGAAAAATTAGCCCAACTTTAAACCGTTTATCTATTAGTAAATTGTTTTAATTAAAGCACGTCGTAATTTTGATGAAAGTTTGATATCATTGTAAATTTGATATTATTTATGCAGGGGATTGTAGGTGGGGTAATTTTTTCAAATAAAAATAAATAAAATAACAAAATCCATCCTTCTCCCTAGTACCCTCAAGTCAACTACTAAAAGCCCAAACCCTCAACTCCTCAAAGCCCGAATTCCAATTGTCCAAACCCTTTGCAACCCTCAACTCCTCAGTCCAAACCCTTTGCCTGCGGATGCCTTCAGCTCTGTTATTATTAATTTTTTTTTTCAAATCAGATCAACAGATCTGATGCCTCAACTCTTTTTATATATTTGTTTTTTTTTTTTTCAAANCCATATCCAAATAAAAAAAAATACAAAGATCAAGAATTCATCCCTAAAACAAACTAAAATCGACATCGAACTCGGGTTCCTAGGTAAATCATCGCAGCTCATGATGCCTGAGCCACCACATAATGTGCGTTTGCAATCCTCGCTGATGGACACGGAACTTCAGAAGGTACAACGATGGATGGTGACACCGTGAAGGAGTTCGATCTTGTCGGCTAGAAGGTTGTGAGACACAGAAGGTGGTGGTTTCAGGCGGCGGACGCTGGATAGCAACGGCTTCAGGCGGAGAACTCCGAAGATGTTGCGCCCTTTGCCGGTGAATTGAGCCTGGGAGACGGTGAGAATATAGGAGGTGATTACGAGGAATTAGGGAAAAAGAACATAGGAGAAAGATACAACAGTCGCCCCTTTTTCTTTTTCTTTTTTTTGATTTTTTAATCTGGCGGACCTGGCCCGGTGGCCCGAGACGGGGACGGGCTGGGCCTATTTTTCTTAGGCCTGCCAAGATGGCGGGTCAGCCCGCCCCGCCCCGCCAATAGGCAGACTTTGGCAGGCTACGGGCCGGCCTATCCGTTCCGTTTTGACAACTCTGCTTCTCCCTTTTCCTCTTCTAGTATTATTTTAGAAGGCTGAGTGTAAATGATTCAGATCGAGTCGAATTAGAGTCGAGTTGAGATGAACTTGAGCTTCTGATACTTGATCCCAAACTTGAACCTTTATTGAGTGGAGTTTGCGGATAAATGAGCTCAAGTTTGTTCTTTTATTTTATATTAACGAGTCGAGCTCAAACTTTAACGGGCTAAGTTATAAAAAACTATATAAATTTTACTTTTCCAATTTTAATAATCCAGGCTTGGTTAGATTCATTAACTAAATGAAATCAAGCTTAACGAGTTGGGTCAAGCTTGATAAGCAAATTGCCTCCAAATTGGATTTAAATTGGCAAAACCACGACTGACCTTCGTCTTAAGCTTCAATGACTTGCAAAATTCGATAAGAGAGTTCTCAGCGAAAAACCTACCACACTCAAGTTAGATCTCACTCGCTGATTCTATAAAATTGTATCATAAGGCGTTTTATAATAGAACATGATAACCTCCTTTTATAAAAATATTATCTTTCTACCCATGCTACCTTGTTACTAGAAAAAAGATCTGTTCATATCTCTTTTCATAGTACAACACGTCTCTGAGATTCCTTCCTTATTAATGAATTGTACTTACCATTCTTATAAGTATCCTTCTTCATTTTATACCACAACTCTTAGGTCCTTAGGTCGCCATATCGACTTCATGACCCAACAGCCACATACTTTTTACCAGGTCATTTATAATATTGTCTGTTGTACGACCTTTAGATCTTATTGACTTCTCATTTGTCTGAGTTTGAGGACGAGCTCAGCTTGCTAGTTAGAACCTGAACTGACCCGTAACCTGGGCTGTTACTCCAATCAGTAAAATCTGACCTATTTGACATGGTCGAATTTGACCCACAAGCTAGAATCTTCCCCTAGACCAGTAACATCCGAGCTAACCGCTCTTGTCCGGTTCACACAAGCTAGTATGAATCCCCTAATTTTTAACAGTTGCGATGTCGAGTTAGGACGCTCGGATGGCCTTGCTGAAGCTCGACCTTAACAGCTGACTGGTCATAGGATCGACTAGGTGAGTAGAGCGTATGAGCTCGTCGACAACACACTTCCTCGATGAGATGTTGGTCGGTCGCAGGATTAGACTGTCTAATAAGAAAGACTAAAGAATAAGAAAGAATATTATCAAGATAAGATCCACACGTGGATAGGGCCACGTGGCAGAACAAAGTTGGGCAGATCGGGCAATTCTGGCATATGTGGGTAGTCTGGGTAATCCGGGCAATACATGTGGCTAGTCTTGGCAGTCCGAGCAGCCCACTGGGATAGTCTTAGGCAACAAGGTAAAACACTCCTATATAAGAGAGTGAAGTATGTTTCTTCACGTATTACATTTTCTACTTACTTATACATTGTTCATCATCTTCTACACATCTCTAACTTAAGCATCGAAGACTCTTAACTGAAAAACCACTTCGGTATAGAGTTTTGCATGTATCATATGTCATCTACTGGCGTGAAGGACGGATCGAGTCGAACCAAGCCTGTCGAGGTCTTTTACATTCAATTGCAATTAGGGTTCTAAGGGATGAAGGAATTGAGAATTTGTAAATTTGAGGGAAAAATTTGTGCTTGCCCGATTTATTTGTAGGTTCTCAATGCCACGTGGATGACTGTCGTCAGCGTGTCAAACAAATAAGACGGTAAAAAATCATAAAATATCAGCCGAAAAAGTCAGTCTTTTGATTAATTTTACAATATACTAGACCAATTTTGATTTTCACTATTGGGACAAAAAATGAGACACCTCTATACATATGAGACTAGTTTTGAAAATTTCCCTTCATTTTTCGACATCTTCTTATAAAATCCTTTTATTCACAATATTCAAAATTTTAACATAACACGGTTAATGTGTTGTTATATCTATCCTTTTTTTTTAGAGGAAATTACACCATCCACTACATCTTAACATTTTTATTACATAATTATAACTCATATATATTTATTTGCAAATTAACTAAAACTATCATATTTATTTACAAACATACTAGATTATTGAAATATGGTAAAAGTAGATTTAGTGGGATCTATAATTATCACACGCTTTCTCTCTCTCTCCCTCTCTCTATTCGTCTTCCTCTTCTCTCTCCCTCTCATCTCTTTCTTCTATAATTTGCCCCAAATTTCAGAATCCTTCTTCTTCCTCATCGATCGATTTCGCTCAAAATCTCATAAAACCCTTCGTCTAATTAATTGATCGATCATCATCAGAATTTTAGAGAAAAGATTTTCTCAACCCTCTTCGTCGATCCGCCATAGCCGCGCGACGTCTTCATCAGATTCTTGTCCGATCAACCATGGCCATAGCCGTGAAGCCGCGAGTTCCGACCGCCGTGCAGCAAGGGAGAACCAGGGGTCCCGAACAACAGCAACTCCTTCTCCCTCGTGCGACGTTCGATCAAGTCTGAAGCCAAGAGACGAGCTGTCGCCGACGAGCCTCCACCGCCGGGATTTTCGAGAAAGGCAGACATAAATCGCTGCACCCATCTGGGGAATTTCGAAAATTCACTACAAAATGTTCAGGAATCAATACGATACCGACGAGACGACGTGGTTGCCGGCGGGGCGGCTGTTCCAAGTGGAGTACGCGATGGAGGTGGTGAAGCAGAAGAGTTCGAGACGATGGAAGAAAAAACTGGAAAATGGAGACTGTGGGTGGGGGCCATGAATTAATCGGGTATATGTTATGTATATATAGGGTATATGTTCTGTATAATATAAGGGCTACCTTATTTGTATGTATGGTTTATATTGACAAAGCATAAACTGATGATTTTTTTTTTTTTTTATATATATGTATGGTTTATGCTCGGTATATTTTCAGTATTTTTTCTCATGACATTAATAGGAAGACGTTCGATAGTATGTAATAGTTAAAAATTTTCGATATATTATCAATATCTTTTCGGTATATTTTCTCATGGCATTAACAGGAAGACGTTCGACGGTATATTATCAGTATATTCTCGGTATATTTTCTCATGACATTTGATATGGGATATTATACGACTAAGGAGCAGACGGTCCATCGTGTCGGTCAGGCAAGCATAGGGAGGAAGAAAACCACGTTGGTTGAAGGATGATCGACCAGAACGGAAGAGATCGAGCAGAATAGCAGAGCTGGTCGAGGATCGACTTAGTAAGGGGGAGCTCGATCAGATCGAGCGCGCAGCAGGGAGGAAGTAGTCGAGAGCGTGACCTGAACGCGAGTAGGCGCGTGGTTGATGTCAGGAGATCCCAACGGCCTGCGCAAGGGAATAATTCCCCTCAGCTCAGAGGGGGGCACGTGGCGAGAACGTATTGGTGCAGAGTGATAGTGGCCGCAACCACCTCTGACACCCCTGACATTTCTGACAACACGCACACTGTGTGTGTACGGACGGGCAGCGCGGGCAGGAAAGCTCACCAATATCCGGGCAGCTCATAGGGCAGGTATCTCACTCCTATATATATGGAGTGGGTCTTTTCTTAGGGTTTACGATTTATCCATTCTTTACTTTGGAAAATTGAACAAACATATACTGACTTAAGCATCGGAGGCTCTTCACCGGAAAACCCCTCCGGAGTGTTTTGCGTTACCAACATTAACAGGAAAACGTTCGACGGGTATATGTACAGTATATTTGCAGTATATGTTAAAACAATATATATAGGCGACGAAGATTTCGTGAAATTTCGTACTCTTTGCCCGATTTCCTGAAATTACGCGCTAGGAACATGGAAGGTTGTTCCACTTACCTTGTAACTGATTTTAGGCATGATTATAATTAATATTTATCTTTTAGGTATATACACAATTTAATTGGTATGAATGGTAATATTGCAATTATCTAAAAATCTGTAAGTATATATGAAAATTTCCTTTCTTTTTTATGTATGGCCATTGGATGTCCCAAGAATAGCCCATAACATTTGTGTTGTTTTGGACATGTTTCTGGAAACTATCATAGAAAATTAAGCACTTCTAAACATTTTTTAAAGTTCTTTTATGTATTATTTATTAATATTATTATTAATTTTTTTTTTAAATTTTACACATGTTAATTGTGATGAAATATTATGCTAATTTTCATGTAGTTAGAATCAAAATATTTTTGTTCATAAATTTTTATGATATTTGTAACATAACTTGTTAAGCTTTATATATGAAAACAAAATTAAACATAATGTTATTATTAATTAATATATAAATAAATGAACTCATGTAATTCGTAAAAATAACTTTAATATTGTTTATCCTAGCACAGAATAAAAAAAAATTGCACAAAATAGTTCAACCATTCAATAGGAGAAAAGACACAAATGATAGAAAATTAACGAACAACATGAAATTAATTTCTTGAGGTGTTACATTGAAAATCAGTAGATCATAGTCAATCTTAGAGAAATCGCTAAAAAGAAAATTCAACGTCGATAAACCCATGAACGTGTTAACTTGTGCTACATTATTTGAAAATTTTAGTCTACAACAAAATACCCAAAATAATAATAATAATAATAATAATATAAGAGAAAATAATAATAATAATAATAATAATAATAATAATAATAATAATAATAATAATAATAATCGAGCAAATATTAGAGAAATAGGAAAATTCAATGTGGATAAACCCATGGACGAGCTCAAAGCTACCCGAATGAACACCACTGAGCGAGAGTGTTAGATTGTGCTACATTATTTAGAGATTTTAGTTATTAAGGTTTTTTTTGGATAGTTAATATGCCAAAATTAATTAAAGTAATGTTAGTAGTTAACAGAGAGTGGCTATGACATTTCTGGAGAAGTTGCACATTTTCACCTGTTGGTCAGTTTTTTTTTATTAATACTTGAAAACATCCCAAGTTCCCCACATCAAATAACAGCTTACAGACGATGCTCACGTGAATTACATCAAGCAAAACAAGAAAAATAACGTAAACACGTCTTAATAAGTGGAATGCCACTCAACTAAAGAAAATAGAAACAGCACCCAATCTCCCTCACAAATCAATTTATACCCCATCTCACAAATAGTGTCAAACTATCATTATTTCTTTACTTAATTAAACATATTCATTATATTTATTTTTTGATATACCAACACATGGTTAATGTGTTGTTATATATATAAGGAAAAATTGTATCATTAGTCCACTAACTATTGGTCAATTACACTTTAGTCCTTTAATAAAAAAAAATTTAGATTTGGTACACTATTTTTATTTTTTTAGCACTATACATCCAAAACGACGTTCCGGTGACATTTTTGGCCGACAAATCTAACGTGGCGTCCATTTAGCCCTACACATTAAACACCGGAGATGATGTGGAATAGCCTGTCCATAGATCTGTCGCCACGCGGATTAAAAGACAAAAAAAAAAGCACATTATATCCATGTGTCATTACACATGGATTTAAGAATTAAAAAAAACCAAAAACCTGTAAAAATAAAGAAACCGCGGGATAAAATTGCAGGAAAATTCCCAAAGCAGACAAACCCTACAATCGACAAGAAATGTTCTTCACAATCGCCCTAATTCTTACATGCAAAAATCACTACTGAATCGCCTAATTTCCTTTCACCAAATATCGAAGGTCGATATCTTCCCAACCCCTTCCATCATAAATAAAAAATGGTGATGAAAAGAGATAAGAAGCACTCGGGTTTGCCACCTCCATTATATCGTGAGTTTTTAATTTGTTTACTTTTTGTCTACTTGTGAAATAGTGTATTTGATTATCTTTTCAACAAAATGTGATCCCTGAAAATGGTGTATTTGATTATCTTTTCAACAAAATGTGGTCCCTGAAAATGGTGTATTTGATTATCTTTTCAACAAAATGTGGTCCCTGAAACATGCATTTGTTTATTTTTTTAAGAAAATGCGGGTCTTGTCCCTGATATATTTGTTTATATGTTCAATAATTTGATGTTTCTTGGCCCACAGACCCGGATTCTACTTCCCTTACTGTCGTGGTGCATCATGGAGGTGTCTTCCAAAACTATCCCAGTTTAAGTTACATTGGGGGTTCAAGAACTGTTCTTGACTATGTGGACAAAGTACACATGAACTTAGTTCGCTTTACTACATTGGCAAATGAGATTATAGGTCCTGGTAAGAAAAAATTTCAGATTGATTTTTGTGGTCGTCTCAGCCTCGTATGCAATGATAGTGATCTTTTGGTGGGGTTTGATGCTGCCTTGCCTTGTAGAGAATTGCATCTTTATGTAGAAAACGTTGTCAATGAAGTTGTAGAGTCTGTTGATAGTAAGTACTGTTTGGGAAGTGACTCTGAAAATGATGATGAACTATTTGATCACCATATTGATGATGTAAGTTCAGTTGAGGCATTTGTAGAAAGAAGTTCTGTTGCAAAATCAGTTGGGAATTTTGGTGTTGTTGGATCATCAAGAGAATCTGATGATGAAATAAATGAGAAAGATGACCATGTTAATAGTGATGAGGCTGAGAGTAGTGAGGATGATGTTGTGAATAATAAAGATAACTTTAATGAGAACAGGTTGTCTGATGATGAAGCAAATGGTGAACCACCTCTTCCAGCCCCTGTATTCAATGTAGCTCAAATTTATGATCCCACCTTCAAACTTGGGATGTTGTTTAGTAGCAGAGCTGAGTTCAAAAAGGCAGCTGATTCTTATGCTATTAAACATAGAAGAAGTTTGAAGTTCACTAAGAATGACAAGTACAGAGTTTATGTGAAATGTGGTGGTGATGATTGCCCTTGGATGATTAATCTGATTCAGGTGAAGGACTCAACCTCATACAGGATCCACAAATTTGTTGATGAGCACAATTGTCCTCCTACATTTGATGTCAAAAATGTGAAAGCATCTTGGCTGACAGATAGATATCTTGATGATTTCAAGACTGATCCAAACAGAAAAGTGAAGCCATGGAGGAGGGAGGTAATTCACAAGCTTGGCTGCCATGTTTCTAAGTTTCAAGCTTATAGAGGCAGAAGAAAGGCTCTGAAGATTGTGGAAGGGTGCCCTGACTACCAGTTCACTATTGGGATTACAGAGAAGAACTTATTAGATCAAATCCTGGGTCTACTGTTATTTTGGGGACTGTTGATACTGATAATGGTGAGAAGAGGTTTGATAGGTTCTATGTTTTCTTCAGTGCACTTAAGAAGGGCTTTAAAGCAGGTTGCAGGAAAATCATATGAGTTGATGGTTGTTTCTTAAAAGGGCCACATAAGGGAATTTTACTCACAGCTATTGGTGTTGATCCAAACAATAATCACTACCCTCTTGCATATGCCATTGTGTCTTCAGAAAATGGGGAGACTTGGGAGTGGTTTTTGATTCTATTGAAGAATGACCTCGAAATACAAAACCAGCAAGAGTGGACCTTTATTTCAGACAAGCAGAAAGGCCTAATCCAAGCTTTCAGGTCTGTTCTTCCTATTGTCACCATGGATTTTGTGTGAGACATCTTCATAACAACTTTCAGAATGCTGGGTTTAGAGGTCTAGAGTACAAGAAGGCTCTTTGGAAATTTGCATTGGCAACTACTGTTGGTGAATTCAACCACTGCCTTGATGAGTTGAGAGAACTAAGTCCAGAAGCAGCAGATTGGCTCAGTGACAAACCACCATCAGAGTGGAGCAAGTCACATTTCACTGAAGGCCCCAAATGTGACATGGTGTTGAATAATGTCTGTGAGACATTTAATGGAAACATATTCGAGGCTAGGGACAAACCAATGTTGACAATATTGGAGTGGATTAGGCAATATCTTATCAGCAGACTTCAAAAAAATAGAGATAAGGCTACCAAACTTTCTCAATCGTTCAACCATTGAAAAGACATAAATCATAGAGGATTAACGAGCAAGATGGAATTAATTTCTTGAGGTTGTTACATTGAAAATCAGTAGATCATAGTCAATCTCAATCGATCATAGTCAATTTCATGAGATGTTACATTGAAAATCAGTCGATCTCGAGGTGTTACATTGAATGCCAATGGAGCAGAACCTCCTTACATCACATTTGATATCCCCACCCACAAAAGTTACCAAAATCATGA